ATTTTTAGTCTAAAAAGACAAAAAGTACACTTATTTAGGACACTCCAAACAACCCCTTAATCTGTAACACCCTCTATATTTTTGTATTTTTGTGTTTCTTTTTTTTTTCACTGTTAAGTAATTCCCTAATAAAAATTATAGTTTGGTGAAAATAATAAAACATTTCACCAAAAGTCATGTACCCCAAAGTTCATCACGAAGAAGTTACCTCCAGAAGATTGCAAATTGGCTTCTTGGAAAGTCAGTTATTCACTAATTATATTTTGAAATCTTAAGCTATCTATAATAGTCCATTATATTATAATATTTGCAAAATCAAACTTTTAATACATATTCATGAGTATGTGCATGTCTTACTTATACAATATGAAACAATATGAATGCTAGTCTTAAAATTTTATTCATGAGTATATTATAACTGACATATTTACAAATAAAATTCAGGTATAATTCATTTTTTTTATATAAATTTCTTCTCAATTATTATATTTAATAAAAAAGATAATGTAAGCATTGGCTAAGGTTTGTATGTGTAAAAAGTATATTCAAATATACAAAAAAAATTTATAAAATTATATAAGGGTATCTCATCATTCGTCCGGGACCATTGGTTTCTCACTTACTTTTTTGTAGATGATTGTATGGTATTTATGTCTTTTCTTGCCGAGGAGATGTGGTGCCTTAAATGGTTTTTGGATGCTTTTTGCCGTCAGTCGGGCTTGCGAATTAATTATCACAAATCTGATTTATTTGTTAGCCCAAATATGTCCAGAGCAAATCGGGAATTTTTACAAAACTGTTTAGGAGTAAAGGTGGTGGGGCCACCGGGGGTGTATTTGGGGGCTTCTCTTAATTTTGTATATAAAAAGGGAAGTGTTTCAGTCTATTTTGAATAGATTTATGCTTTGTTTGATTGGGAAATTTAAGAAGGAATTTGAAAAAAGAAAGGAAAAATATGTGTGAAATTAGGTCAAATATAGGTATGTTTTATTCACATTTCATTTTCTTTTTCCATTTTCCTTTCCAAATCCTTTTCCAAATCTCTTAATCAAACACAGCGTTAAGGTTAAGCTACAAGGGTGGAGGAGAGCTCTTCTTCCTATTGCAGGTCGATATATTTTGGTTAAACACTCCCTTCTGTCCATTCTTATGTATTTGCTATCTGTTTTTCGTGCTCCAATATATTTTGTCCACCAGATCCGGAGTGTGGTTACTAGGTTTCTTTGGAAGAATGATGAGGGTAAGGGGGTGTATTGGAAAAATTGGAAAAGCCTTTGCCTACCGGGGAAACTTAACCATTCACTCTTAGTTAAGGTCGCTAGCGAATTCTTATAAACCTAATCTCCTCATCAGCCGTGTGTTATAAGCAAAATATTGTAAATCCAGAAAGTTCCTGGACATTAAACCTTCAAGCGGGTGCTCTTGGGATTGGAAGAGCATTTTATGGGGGTGGGATTTGCTTAAGACAAGATTGTTTTGGAAGGTAGGGAGTGGGAAACAGATTGATCCTATAAAGGATCATGGATGCCTACAATGCAAAATATGCTTTGTTGGACAGTGGCTGGGAAGGATGTTTTCTTCTTTTCAAGTGGAGCATTTGATCAATCATGAAAATAAGGAGTGAGGGACATATTTTGCATATTTGCATTCCTAGAGATGACATTCCTTCTTCTATTCCCACAGGAAATGGCCAAACACATGTTGCATATTTACATTCTTGGAGATGACACTCCTGATCAACCTATTTGGTATGCAAACAAAAATGGACAGTACTCGGTTAAATCTAAGTACTTTTTTACTTTGGGAATTGAAAGACAATGTAGACACTTGGCATTGGAAGAAACTTTGGATTACACATTCCCCACAAATGGACATTATTCCCGTGGAAGTTATTCCATCGCATCTTGCTTGCTATAACTGTTTTGTTGAGTAGAGGAATTAAAGTTCCAGTGGTGCTACATCCCCCACTCCTTGATCCCTAATAGCACCCCTAACCTAATGAGGTGGGTGGAAAAGTACCTTCCAAATTGCAGTTCCACTGGACAGTGCGTGAAACACATGCATTGTCTAAGAAAAAAAAAATACAAGACAGAACCCTGCTCTCTCTCTCTCTCTCCAAATCAAACCCTCTCTCTTTCTCACCTCTTCTTCCCAACGGTATTCTCCATGACACCACCAACGATGAAATCTGTCGGAGAGAAGACCCACACTTCCGAACTGAACTACCGACGTCGCTCTTCTCTTTCTAATCTCCTTAGCATCTTCCAGAGCTCTATTAACTCAGTTTCAGCAACATCCAACGAATTTCTTCACTGAGTGTTACTCTGTAACTTTTAATTTGTAAATTCTTAACATCATAATAGTTGAATTTGCAAACTTTTAACATCATAACTAGCAAAAATTGCTTACTTTACTCCGGTTGTTTCACTAATTTTTGCATTATATTTTGTGATATACTTATTTTTAACACACTTCAAATTAAACCCAACAAATGAATACAATTACAAGGGACACACCCTGCAATACACCTTGTAACTACAAAAAAGAAGAAGACATATTTCCATACTTCTTGAATTATAATTAAAAAAATAAAAAATATTATAACTAAATGCAACATGATACATAATTAAAGTTCTCAAAACATAACTAAAATAATGTTATAACTAAATAAAAAAATTGATCATAACTAAATAAAAAAATAGATATAATTAAGAGTGCATATGGTACACCTTTTTTTGAGTGGTGTGCCTATTAGAATTTCCGCAATTACAATATCATAAAACAAAACCATAGATTGTATGGACTGGATTCAACAAAAAGATCAAACAATGTAATGGGGAAAATCTAAAACCAGAGTAATGTGGGAAATCTAACTTCTGAAGTACACATAATGCAAGTCAAATTCACAATCTTCGATTGGGCCTTGCCCCCGTGTAATGTGTTGTTCGTCAATCTTCAAGGCTGAATGTGCGATTCGTCGCCTAGATTGAGTCTGGGCTATGTTGTGGTATCCATCGCAAGGTTGCCGGAGGGAGTGGGTTTGCGACGATGATGCCGGCGACGGCGGTGGGTGGAGGGAGAGAGAGGGTGGACTGGCGTGGGTTGCCGGCAAGGCTAGCCTTTGAGAGTGGCGGGTTTGATAGTTTTTAGGGAGAGAAAGTAGGAGGAGGATGCCGAAGAAAGATGCTGCAGGAGAGAGGAGAAAAGAGGTCCACAGGTGGTCGGACTCGTTGTCAGAGTCATCCACCATTGGGAAGGAGGGAGGGAGAGAGAGAGAGAGAGAAGAGAGAGCCAGACAAGGCACAAACAGAGACAAAAGAGAAAGAGAACAAGATGAGAGAGGAGGGAGCGTGGATGGTGTAGCTTTGTAATCTCACATGGCCTACCTCCACGTCATTAGGGATGAATCGACGCTCCCAAATTAGAGCTCTCAAATATTATTACTAAAGTTCAACCCATGAACCCAAGGCATGTAGCACACTTGATAAAGGCCTAGCGGCTAAGACCCCATGTCTCTCTTAAGTTCAAAATTTCTTGGGTCAACCTCCTGATTGTAGCGCAGTTGGTTAGGAAGTTAGCCTCAACTTATTGTTACCACAACACTTAGTGTGAGTTCAATGCTCCCTTTTACGTGAGTCCTGACTTAAGCAGAACTTATTTTGGGAGGTCAGGACAAATTCTCAAGTTATAATCCCTGACTCAGAATGGATAACAGGACACCTTGGTAATTTTTACAAAGGGAGCTATCTTGGACCTTTGGGAACGGAGAAAGATTTTCCTGTAACCCAAAAAGAAGTTCAGCCCATTTGTCCACGGGGCTTTGAAGTGGAGAAATCATTAGAATACCTTTGTTTTAAATGTCTTTTTTCTAAATATATTGGGTGTGGGTTGCGATAGGGATTATACTTTGATGTCGGTGAGGAATTAACGGTAAGTGAGTTGTTGAAGCAATGGTTTAGAAGGGCTCCAGATGAGGATGCAATTGTGGAAGTGATCACAATGCTTTGGGGAATCTGGTTACACAAGAACAAGGCAGTTTATGTGATAAGAGGATCTTGCAAGGACTGTGAATCTTATGCAAAACTTGGATTGGACATACCATAGGCTCAGTTTGGGTATTCATCAATCTGACTGCTCAGTTTGGGTATTCATCAATCTGACTGCGTTGACAAATCAGACAGTGGATGTTGGTTGCTCAATGAATAGTTTTGTTATTACTAATAATTTGTTTTGGTGCCCAGATGTGTTTTGATAGGATACTAATAGATGGTGCATGGCATAAGCCGTCATGTGCAGCAGGAGCAGCTTGGGTGGGAGTTGATTCAAAAGGTATTCAGCTGGCCCAAAAGCAGCTATCATTCTTCACACATTCAGCAGTGGTTGCGGAAGCACAGGCTTGCTTGGAAGCTTTGAAGTGGTGTCTACAAAGCCACATCAAGGCTATCACTATTCTTACAGATTGTTATGCTCTGATTACTCAACTTAATGATAATAGCAAAGCTGAATGGGATATTAGGCATATTTTGCTAGATATTAAACTATTATGTAAATACTTTGATCATGTTTATATTTCTAAGGTGCCTAGGCGACATGTGCAGGCTGCTCATAAAGCAGCGCAAGCAGCCTCAGTGAAAGGTTGCTAGTTTTGTGAACTATTTTTTTTTTTTTTTTTTTTTTTTTTTTTTTTTTTTTTTTTTTTTTTTTAAAAAAAAAAAAAAAAAAAAAAATTGAAAAATTAAATTCATTTTTTTTTTTTTTTCATTAATGATCTACACCTATAATTTTACAACATGAGAACTTTGGAGGGCCTAACAGGTCAGACTAATCTTCCCCAATCCATAACCAAACTAGAGAAGAGTTTATCCCTAACCAAAAACACAAGTTCCCCAGATGAATGTGACCCATACTTGTAATAGGTTTCTTTGAGGGAGATTACAAATCCACAACCCTAATAAATTTCAATATATATATTTTATTATGACATTCATCCAACATTAATGCAGTTCGAATATATAGCCAAACACCGAAGTTAAAGGGTTGGGCATTGTTATATCTATTCCATTCTAACAAGGATTCAGAATGATGGAACACAAAAATCCAAACAGATAATATAACCAAGAATAATCTTGAAAATTAGTACACCCAACTGATATTTTAAACACTACCACTAATGGTTCAAAAGAAATCCAGCAAATAGACTCAAGACTTAAAAAAGCAAAAACATTCCCACATTAGCATGGGCAGAAACTCACTTATTTCTTCTCTTCCTTCTCAGCCTCAGCAGCCCTCTTCATCCTGACACCAACATAGCGTGTATTCGTCCGCTCGATACGCAGCTTAGCATAGGCCTTGAATGATTTCATCTCGTCTGTGACCTTAACAAGTTCCACAGTTGGCTTCTCACGCACAATAGGCATGTAAGGACCTTGGACTTGAGTGGCAGTTGCCAATTCCTCAGGAGCAGAATCACCAGCCTGAAGAAGCCAAAGGAAATTATATGTCACAGTGTCGAGGCTTATAGATGAATAGCAAATGTTTTGAGTGAAGTTCGGTCAAATAATAAACATTACCTTGAATTTGCGAGCACGTCTTGGGAAGACAACCAACTTGGCCTTGTATGTCTTCAGCCTCTGCACATTAGTCTGAAGACCCTCCAGAGAACGGTTCCTGCGACGATGATCAACAGCTATGCCAATGGTTGGGGCAAGTTTTTTTGGAATACCTGCTGCCTGGTTGGAAGAAAAGGGAAGCGATAAGCCACAAAAAAATATCATTTGAAGAAATTCTAGATTCAATAGGAATACAAGAATTGTCCAGTTTGTGTCACAATCAAATCTACTCGCAAATACCTCCATCAAGCCAAGTACAATGCTTTATCTGAAAGTAAAGGACTGAAGCAGTATAGCTCCCTCCATTTCTAGAGAGCATGGCTTTCAAAGATGAACAAAATTTATAATTCTGTCTAATGTAACAGAATGCAACAATTTATGATTGCCAGAGAAGCCAAGAGCAATTATTTGGTTAACGAATCCAAACATATTCGGCTCTACCCATTATAAGCAATGCAAACGTTAAACTATTGTACCATAAAATGTACATATACATATCACTTTTGTCAAAAATCACAAACATAACCACCATGATATTCTGGCTGCAGATGTTACAGGGTGGAGAAAACAAACACCACTTGACCACATTTCAAACCATGAAGAAATTAAGTGAGAAAATTTTCCATTAAACATTTCTATGCATACTTTCGTGTCCCACCAAGTCAAGATCCAAAAAGGACACTTGAGAATACACAAATGTTGAACAACATTAGGTACAAATAAAAAACAACTGACCTTGAGCTCCTCAAGGGAAAATCCCCTGCCAGCCCTTAGCTTCATATTGTACTTCAATGTCTGCCCATGAACAATGGGACGAAGTGGTCCAGCTGTAGGCCGAGGGAAGATCTTCACAGCTTTCTTTTGCCTTGCTGAAAATGGATTTAAAAGACAATTATTGTAGAAGTTGGCAATAAAAATTTACACAGGCAACTGTTATAAACAAATGTAATTTTCACCAAACAACTCAACCAATTCACAGCACCAAAAAAGGGAAAATTGCCTCATCTCTGTTTTTTAAAAGGGGCTGGGGATCTACTTACCAGTTCTTCTTCTGGTTTTGCGGGCAGGCTGGTTAAACCATGTCTTCACATAGTTCTGCCAGTGCTTCTTAAAGTGCCCATTGGGAATAACATTATTATGCTTCACCATAATTTACCTGAGAAGTCATAGAATGAGTGAGAAACATAACTCCAAAAACAGAAACCCAATTTCTGTCGAAGTTATAAGATCACTTTTAAATCATTGGATAATAGTTTAATTTGACACAATCTGCATGTGGTAGAACAGAAAACAAGGCCCCTCCATGAAATCTTAATATTATGCATTAATGAGCATCCACCTTACTTTCACCAAACCAAAACAAATATAAGTAGATATATATATACAAATAGATGAATTGCACAAATATATATATATATATATACAAGGAACACCTCAATTCTAAATAGAAGGTTGGTGTGTAAACAATTCAAATAAATATGTTTTACAAGTTAGTTACAACGGAAATCTGAAAACATATACAGCAATTCATTCAGTCAAAACAAAAGAAATTAAATAAACCAGATTTAACTATAGCTGCACTACTACCTACCATGTATGCACATTCAATGCAAGTGAACACCAAAGAAGATAGGAATAATTCAATTTTCTCCATCACAGCATATTACTTGAATACAAAAAATAAAAAATAAAAAAATCCACAAAATATTTCAATAGCCAACTAGTAGTGATGAAACAACTACAACAACATGCCATTTCATGAAAGCAGATAATTCATCACATACCCTCTGATGCCATGATAAAAATGAAACATGCTGTTTTCAACCACAGTTAAAACTAACACAAAGTTGTCAAAGCTTAAAAAACATTGCAAATGGAACCATTAACAACAGGAAAATGAAAACAACAATATAAAAAGTTTCTCAAATTGCCAATTGTTCCCAACCGTACAAGTAACTCCCTACTTGACTGCTACAGAAATGTACATTCAAAATTACATTTTTTTTTCTTTTATTTCCACTACCTGAAAAATAAAATCAAAACTTTGTACTGGAAATTAAATTTTTTTTAAAAATAACCTCATAGAATCAATAAACGTGAATTGATCCAAAACCCTAATCCACAACCCACCAGCTTGATTCCAAAAAAAAAAACCCAAAGATATAAAATAACTATCAAATATCGTCAGAACAAAGCTGAATAATATTTGTGTAGGTTTCATGAATCAAGACTTTCGTTTTCATCTCCTACATTTCCCAGGAAACAAACACAGATAACAATTGTTCCCAACCGTACAAGTAACTCCCTACTTGATTGCTACAGAAATGTACATTCAAAATTACATTTTTTTTTCTTTTATTTCCGCTACCTGAAAAATAAAATCAAAACTTTGTACTGGAAATTAAATTTTTTTAAAAAATAACCTCATAGAATCAATAAACGTGAATTGATCCAAAACCCTAATCCACAACCCACCAGCTTGATTCCAAAAAAAAAAACCCAAAGATATAAAATAACTATCAAATATCGTCAGAACAAAGCTGAATAATATTTGTGTAGGTTTCATGAATCAAGACTTTCGTTTTCATCTCCTACATTTCCCAGGAAACAAACACAGATAACCTTACGATGAAAAACCCAGAAGTCATTGACGTTCCCAGATCTGAGAGAAAGCGAAATACTTACAACAACTACGATAAATCTTAGCAGAAGTGCTGAAGAAGAGCCTCGCTTCGCCAGTCGCCACTCTCAACCCTCTCGAATTAGGGCGTCTTGGTTTATAAATAAGAGATGATATGATACCAGGAAAACAAACAGGAACCCTAGGGTTGCTTGGGCCAGGGAAATGGGCTGTGTCGGCCCAAACGGGGTTAGAATTCACACTGTTGTCATGGCCCATTCAAAAATAAAAGTTATTTACACAGAAGTCTTGAGTGACATTTTCTACATATTTGTCTATCGTTTTGATGATGAGAAAATATTATTTTTTTGAGTTTTTTGTTTTATGTTTGTAAAATGATCATTTGGTATTGATAATGATACTGATAAATTTGTCAAAGTGATACAGATTAAAACATTTAAATTTTTGTTTGTGAGTTTTGATTTATTTTTAGTTTAGCTTTATTAATTTATATTGAAATATGAAGAAGGAAGTTTGAGAGATTGTCTAGACCTAATACGAATTGTGTCAAGATTTGCTTAAATCCACCGAAGTCTAATTTGAGCATAATAAATTGAACTCAAGTTAAGCTTAAATTATCCACAAAATCAAATTTTTTTAGGTAGATTGATTAATTTGTTAAAGTTAGATTATATTAAATGATAAGAGAAACATAGAGAGAAGTGAGATGATGATGGAGTAACCAATGTGTTTTTATGGTAATTTTTGTCATTTTCTTAACGAGAAAAGAAAATAGTAAGATTTTGTGTTTAATTTTTTGTATATATGATATATAGTGAATATGGTTTTTTTTTTTTTTTTATAATTTTTTTTTTAAGATGGGGGAAACAATTACACAAGAGTTGGAACCTTAGAAGCCACCAATGCCAATAAGGATGAAGGAACTTCCTCCATCCAAAATCATGGTAAGTCAAAATTAAAGACTAACCTACACAAGCAACAGGTCACAGAATTTCCCTCTCTACACACATACGACATAAATGTAGATTAGAAGAGCATGAGACTCTCTTAAACAGCCCACAACAGGTGCCCGTAGCAAGATAATTTCTCCACTATCTCCCCTGTATAGCAAAAATTGTTGGACAATCTTCACTATAAATAAATTAACTTAATTCTGTTTGAATACTAAACGACAAACAGAATATAAAAGAAAAATAGAAAAGGAGAGAGAAAGTTTGATTACAAAAATCAAACTAGAAAAAGAATTAAATAAATAAAAATAGATTTTATTTTGTTACAAAAACAAAATTAAAATCTGATTTAAATTAATAATAAAAACAGAAAATACATAAATAACTTACTTGATTAATATCTTCAATATTATTCTGATCAAGCCCAGTGTTTGACACTATGTCCTTAAGACAGATTCGTCCTCTCTATGGTGCTTTCAGAATATGTACGTCTATCTCTCATGATGAAATGATCAACTACAAATAAATGCAGCACTACAATTTATTTGTTTAACGAACACACTAAGTGTTTACACTATTTCTCACAAAAATTAAATGCAGCAAAATGAAGAATAAATTTGCAAAGGAAAAGTACGAAATTTCTAAATGTAAAACATCAAATGAGGGCTGCTTATTTATAAATTTGATCAACCATGGATGTAATTACCACCCCTAGTGAATATGATTTAATAATCTGAATTATTATAACACTTTCTAATGGCTAATAATTAAGCGTATATTTTTATTTTAACACTCTACTTGAAAATTAGTTTGTCTAACTTCCAATACTCTCCAAAGATAACTAGACAAGAATTGATGAGATAAATGGTTACCATATTACCTATTCTATCGAAACTCAATTTTGTGATAAGATTGGACAAAATATTTAAATACTCTAAATGCCTCTGCAATTGGCGATGCCCTCACACCATTTCTTTCTATTTTCTATATGTATGTTTTTCTTTTCTCCATCTTTAAATCTCTCACAAATAATGTGAGATATTAGAAGATTAAGGCCTCGTTTAGGAACAGGTTAATTTAGTAATTTTTTGACTATTTGGCTAAAAAGGTAGGTAAAAAAAACTTGTATGTTTGGAATGACTTTTTGACTAATTACGAAAAGATGTGCAAAAAGTAGAGAGAAAAGAGAATATTTGATTTTTTGGTATGAGTTGTTGGCTTTGACTAAGTTAGGCCTCGTTTGGGATGCTACCTTTTTAGCTAATTAGCCAATTAGTTATACCAAAAAGTCAACAATTACAGCTTCTCTCTACTTTTTGCACAGCTTTTCGTAATTAGTCAAAAAGTCATCCCAAACATACAAGTTTTTTTTACCTACCTTTTCAACTAATTAGCCAAAAAGTTACTAAATTAGTCTATTCCCAAACGAGGAGTAACTTTTTGACTAATTGACTAAAAAAATTAGTCCCCAAACGGGCCTAAGTGTGAATACCATTATTCTACATCAGTTGTCACAAAAAAAAAAAAAAAAAGAAAAAAAGAAAAAAGAAAAAGTCATCCCAAACATACAAGTTTTTTTTACCTACCTTTTCAACTAATTAGCCAAAAAGTTACTAAATTAGCCTATTCCCAAACGAGGAGTAACTTTTTGACTAATTGACTAAAAAAGTTAGTCCCCAAACGGGCCTAAGTGTGAATACCATTATTCTACATCAGTTGTCACAAAAAAAAAAAAAAAAAGAATATCTCCTCTCTACTTTTTCTACACATAATACAAAAAAAATCAAAAAGTGCACTTATTTAGTCTTCCCAAACTAGGCCTTAGTAATCTTATGCGCTACACAATCACATAGGCCACACGCATTTAGTAGGCACTTAAGAGCACCAAAAGAGCACTGCTAATATATACACAAAAAATATATAAAATAAAAAATTTAATCTATTGTCTAAATTCATTTAAAATATAAATTTTACAATACAAACATATTATTTTTATGAGTATAATTTTTGCACTTGTAGTATGAGCACATATGGCTTTACTTGCACGATAACTTGTAAAATTAACTCTGGTGATAGTAATTGCAACAAAATCATAAAACATAATCCTTGCATATTTTATCAGGAGGTCAAAACTTGACTTTCCTACTCAAAGCTATTGGCCTCCTTAAAAAAAATGACACAATAAATCAGTCACCCCACAAATACTAATATTTTATTTGATTTATTGAAATAAAGTAAAATAAAATAATTATTTTATCAAAATATTTATATTTAAATTTGGTTGACTAAATGATAACAAACTGTATTACAAATAGAATCATCATTCACTATTATAAAAGAACAATCATTTCATTCCATTTTAACTCATTTCAATAAAACCAAATAATACTTAAAAAAGGAAAGCACAGGTCAGGTATGACAGTGGGGGTTAATAATTGCAAAACTATGTAATGTAACAACAGGATTCACTTGAATAAACCCAATACTAATGAACAAAAGAAGCAGCAGAGATGCAAAGCTTTTTCCTTTTCATCTGAAATTACATTTAAATTCCAAACACAATGAAATACAATTAACTCATATATGCCTACTTCTCAGCCACCAGTTTGGCTACAAAGGGTCTTATTGTTTGGCTGTGCTGTGTGCTTCTGTATTTGGCTCTACACATGCTTTTATTTTCTTTTGCTTGGTACCCCCTACATGGGCATTCACTAAATTCTTCTGGACTAACAGTCCATACAAATCTTTCACTGGGTCACATTAGTATCTAGAAGAGCCTATCGTCAACAATTTTACAATTTTACAATTTTACAACACAACAACAATCAAATGATTCTACTAACTCATTTCTGGAGAGGGGGGTGGGGATTATTGCTTACTGTATTAGAAGCAAGGTTGGGGCATAATTTTTAATAATAGTATCCAGATACATATTAGTATCGCCGATACAGTGATGTGTCGGCCGATATTTAAAATCCTAGTAAGCAGTCTTGTAATTTATCACAAATACCATGTCTGAAAGCCACAGCACAGTGGCTTGAAGAATACCATCAAAACTCCAGGTGGCCAAGACGCCTTGTTTAAGGCCTCATTTAGAATTTTACTTCACAAGGCAGGCAATTTCCAGAGATTATTGTAGCATTCAGCGCAGAGCAACTCATGTCAAACTACTCAGCCGCAGAAACTGGTCCCTCTCCGGCTACATACCCGTCAAAATTTTTAGGCAATGGAGTTTCTGTGATGTCCAAAAACACCTAATTAGTTGGGTGGTGAATATCCATGAAAGTAATGGGCATATTGCTCCTGCAATATCAACAACCAAGTCTACAATAGCCGTGTCTCTGGCACCCCAAACCGCGAAGTCAGGCCAACAAAAGAGGAGTGTAAATATGATCCTTCCAGATGGGATTTGAGGGAGGTGTGAATATGCTTGATTAGAAACTCTTCATCAAGCATCTACGTGCTGATCCTCTTCAACGTGCACTAGAACCAAAACATCGAGCACTTATAATTCATGAGGCACCTCAGTTCTTTCTTTCTGAAATCATGCTCCTCCTAACAAATTTTTTCTTTCCGAACTTCTTGGTCTTCTTCATCCTCGAGACTCCAATATTTTTTAACTTCGCCAACTTCTCTTGCCTCCCATCTATATCAGCTTGAATAGCTTTGTTTCTTTTCACATCTGGAAGCAAAGCCAGCCTTGCAAATTTCTTTGGCCTCACTTGCCCGAGCTTCTCATTTATGTCCTTGAAAGCAGGAACAAGGCCACGTCTAATATAACATCCTTCAACGAGCTGCATTGAGTTTACCTCTGGGAGATTGGGGCTGTTTTTCAACTCAAGGTCCAAGCAAAATGGTGAGTCCTTCAACCACATTCGAAGGGAGTGTGCTTTTGCAACAAGGAGCCCACTCCTTGTTTTACAGGGCAGAAACGGGGAACCCATTTCCCAAAGGTAGGCCTTCAATGTGCTGTTCAAGGAAACGTTGTTGTAGTCTGAGGTCCCGGTAATCAGTACAACAGATTTGGGAGACTCCGGGAAACCCTCCAGCGATGCGTCCTGACATAATTGAAGCCATCTATTAGGTGCATACAAAGTATAGCCAAAAACTGTGAGCAAAATAAGGATGATTCTAAGAATGTTCTTAAGATATTATTGACTTAAGACCATTCAAAGGAGGGCAAAGATTAATCAGAGGTGATGATTCATAGGATAAGCCTGTTAGCAGAACAATTTACCATTAGATTTATGTATGCCCAGAAATACAGTCTGTGTCCTCATAAAACTACAAAAAAAAGGTATGCAGATGGTAATGATTGGGTAAGGAATGACAAATCTATTTGGATTTAACCAATATTTTACCAACCATATGAAATAGATCAAATTAGCAGACACATTTTACAGGTTTCCATGTCCTTTGGGTTCAATCAGTGGCCAAACTCTGGTCAAAAACCAAGTAGTTCTACATGAATATACACAAGAAAGTAGAGAAGATATAAATTATTCAGGGTGTAGAAGAATAGAGGTTTTGCAAGACTCTGAATAATCGTTCTCTTTAAGGGCTTTTAAAATTATACCAAACCAAGCCAAGCCTTAAGTCCCATCAGGCTTTTAAAATTATGAAGAAAACTAAAAAAATAAAAACCATACATCCATATACATCTGAATATATATGTGAAAAGATGAGATAAAAAGAAACTTGCTTGCATGTGGTCAAGCCATAAAGTAAGACCAACAAGAGCTGCACCAGCAGACAACTTTCTGAAATCAGCCCCCCAGTCCTTGTCAGCTACCCTGCAACAAGAAGATGAGATACGGGCAAAGCCATGAGAGAGAGAGAGAGAGCACAAACAAGTGGAAAGCTACCATGAAAATAAAAGGTCATGTCCTGACATCCACAGGACACTTAAATCATTTCCTTTGTTAAGTTTACTATTAAGATACCTCCTTCACCAATCATCAGGATCTCAATTATGATATGCTCCGTAGAATTTGCATTAAAGCAGTTTGCCCACTAGAGATGAAATACAACTCAACTCAACAAGCCTGCTCACTTGCAGCTAGATGACATCTATTGATATCCAAAATGTGTTCTCATCATCAAAATTCCTGTTTGGGCCCTCTAGACCTTTCAACTATGGGTCATTTTTCATTACAATTTGCCTCAAAATAGATTTGCCCACTAGCGACAAAGGCATGATCCAAATTGTCCAGTAAACGGTTTCCCTACCATCAAGAATATTATTTATTTTCAATATTACAAACATATTATATCAATGTTAAATGATGCTTCATTGCCATTTTTGGGTGGATATCGTGAAATCTTTGGGGTCACAATGATGTTGATAAACAAGTAACCAACGGAATTAGCGTAGAACTAATTTCAGAAGTTACCTGAACACATCATGCTGATAAATGCTTCTCTTTATTGCCAGTTGAAAAACCCATGAAGCAGTGGCCCGGAGTTCAAATGCCCACAATAGATCTTCCAAAGCATTAACAAAATTAAAAGCTGCATTATCTTCTATAGGTTCCAGTTTCTCAAGATACTGATCTACTTCCAAGACTATTGACTCAGATTTCTGTGTCAGAAGCCTAACAAAAGAATAAAAGAAAGATTATTTTTCCATTTAAAGGAAAGATATGGAAGAAAACCAGAAAATGGAGAAAGATAGGGTGATAAAAATCAAGTATTAGAGTGTACCTGAGGGGAAGATCAAAACCAGCGTCTCCTATAGCATTTAACAAAATTATGGCTTCATTTGTGCTCCGAGATAAACTTGCAGCCCTAATAAACTGAGTCCATATCATGTGGTCTGGCTCTAGATGTTCTTCCTTCATCTCTTGGAGCTTTTGAATTCCAATGTTATAATCTCCGTTCTTGAGATAAGCGTCAATGACTGAACTATAAGGTAATGTAAGATTTGCACCTGTTAATTTCAAATTATTAAGCACTTTCTCCGCTTCAATGGGTTGCCCTGAGCTGCCATACGAGATCATCAGCATATGCATTGTAGCAATGGTGGGTTCCACTCCTGCTTCTTTCATCACGATTAGTAGCTTTTCAGCTTTAGAATGATCTCCAGAGCTTCTAAATATTTTCATCATTATATGATAAAAAGAGCGATCAAGTTTATATCCTTCCAATCGCAGTCCTTCAAACACTTCTTCAGCTTGTTCCACCATTTGTTGCTTGCCAAATGCGGCAATCAGGCTTTTGTATGTGTTCAGCTTAGGGTTCAAACCTAGACTTTTCATTTTATGCATCAGCTGCAAACCTTCCACTGGTCTGCAATCCCTACAATACATCAATATTAAAGAATTGTAAGTCTCCTCATCTGGTTGAAGCCCAGCTTCTTGAATCTGCTGGTATACTCTCACTGTCTTTCTAAAATCCTTGATTTCTGTATATAATTTCAGTATGGAGTTCCATATCGAAAGATCAGGCCTGAATCCCACTTCATCCATCTCAGAAACCATGGCCTCAACATCCCTTACTCGTTTCCCCTTCGAAAATAGTTCAATCATAACTCTATAGAGATGCATGGAAGGCAAGTAACCTGCAGCCTTCATTCCGTGATATATTTTCTTCACCTCAAATATGTTCCCAGCCCGGGCAAATGCATCGAGCATCAAAAGAATGGAACTCTTACTAATCTTAAAACCCATATCTTGCAACTCCTGAATTACCACGTAGAGCTCATTTAATCTCTCGTCAACAATCAAAGCTTGCATGAGACCGTTAATGGTATCCAAAGTTGGGGAAGGACCGTCTCTCATCATTGTATTAAAAGCAGCTCTTGCCTTCTCATAGCAACCACTTGCAGCATAAGCCTGTATTAGTGCATTCCAAGCCTTACGATCCACTGTACTGAATCTCTGTCTAAGAATCCCCACCAAACTCTCAGCTTTCTGAAGTAGCTTCAACTTGCCATAAGCCTCAATAAGCGAAACATAAATGGAGATATCATCAAATAGACTGCCCTCTGCTTCCGTCTGATCAACCAAATGATGAGCCGTCTCGGGGAAGCCCATTTTACAATACATAAGCACCATACTTTCACAGACATTCTGAGAAGGTTCTACTCCATTAAATGTCATGTCGGAGAACACCTGAGAAGCTTCGGCAAACAGTTCAGTCTCTTCACAGCATTTAATAAGGGACTCGTACATGGACGGACTCCCATGAAATTTACTTAACCCCCTAGTTTTACTGTATTCATCCAAGGCAGCATCCAATTGATGAGCCTTACAATGAATAACAATCGCAGCTTCGGTTATCAATTGATGGGATCTTGGTGCATGCTCTCTCACAGAATCTAGCAATTGCAGTGCTTCTAAGTATCTTCCTGATGAACTATATGAACTCAAAATAGTCAATAAGTTCTCATGGTCCAAATCATAACCCTGCATGATAGCCTGTTTCAACAATTTAGCTGCATAATCATAGCATTCCCCCTTGACAAGAATAAATGAAATGATTTGTGGATCCAAACGACACGATTCTTCCATATCCTTGACCACTTTTTGAATATCTTCCTCTTTGTTCTCTTTTCCGAGTGCATGAAGCAAAACCTCATAAAGGGATTGATCTGGAGTGAAACCATTACGGACCATTTCACGATAAAAGGCCATTGCCTTCTTGGTCTCATTAGACCTCAATTGGACATCCAGCATAACTGAATATGCTAAATGATCTGGTTTAATCCCAGACCTCAGCATGCAATTAAACGTCTCTTCAGCTTGCACTCGCTTTCCAGCCTTTGCATACCCACAAATTAATGCACTGTAAGTCCGCAAAGAGGGTTTAACACCTGCATTAAGCATCTTTGTCATCACATCAGCAGCCTCTTCCATCATATTTGCTTTCCCGAGTGAATCAATAAGAACGGTATATGTGACCACATCAGGACTTCGGCCTGATGATTGCATGTCTCTGTAAAGTTGTAAAGCTAAATCATGCCGCCCATTCTTCCCATGCATGTGGATGATCGTGTTATAAGTCATCTCATCCTTTCCAAACCCCATTTTCACCATATCTTCACAGATTTCCTGTACCTTCTCTATATTCCCTTCTCTAGCAAATGCATAGAGTAGAGAATTATACGTTACTGCATCTGGGAAAAACCCTTTTGACTCCAATTCCCTAAAAAGCCGTTCAGCCCTGCCAGACCGGCCACATCGTCCACAAACTGAAATCATGGCATTATATGTCCACAAATCAGGTTGGCATTTGTATGCCTCCATATCATTGTAAACCTTTACCGCTTCCTGCAAATTGGACTCGCGGGAACAAGCACTTATAAGTGTGTTGTAAGTAATTATATCAGGTCGAAGACCTGACTTTCTCACTTCATTTAGAAGCTCAATCACCAAGTTTGGTACCATGGACTCCGATTTGAGGCGTGCATTTATCAAAGTATTGAAACTCACAAGGTCTGGTTCGCACCCTTTCTCCTTCATTAAATCAAACACTTCCTGAACCTTATTGAACCGACCATTCCGAGCATAGACACCCATCATTGCATTGTAAACTTGGACAGTGTTACCCACCCCAGGCTCTGCCCTAGAAAAAATTTCCACAGCTAAGGCTTCTTGATTGGCCTTGCCTAGTACAGCCAGAATTGTTGCTAGCATTCGGGCATTAGGAGAGTACCAATGCCGAAGATTCAACCACTCGTAAACCTCAAGAGCGCGTTGCCAACTCGATTGCCCAACCCATTTCACTACAAAACAGAAATCAGTGGGAGTCATTTGCACGATCCGATCATCCAACACATCGGCCACAAACTCCTCTGATTTCAACTGTAATATCCTATCCGTTAAAAATTGAACCCTCTGTCGCCAATCTTTAGCCCTCTTCAAGGCTAATTTGGTCATTTTCTTTGCCCTAGTCCTGCTAGGCCTACCCAAAACCTCTAGGGTTTCATCATTAGCATTCAGAGACTCCAATACATCCCCGTTCTGGGTTTCCTCGAAATCTTTGGTTTTTACCAGAAGATTCACATCGTCGACGACATGGGTCGGCGGAGGAGAGGCGACAATGAATTGGGAAGGAGGTGAATTGTGATGGGTATCGGTGAGTTTGAGATGGGGCCATCTCACAGAAGGAGAGGCCCTGCTGTATCTAAATTTCTTGGTAATTTCAGGTTCAGTAGATGAAGATGAAGATGAAGATGATGATGAAGAGCAATCCAAAGAGCAAGAAGTAGGAGTGTATACCTTAGATTTTGTGGTTGATTGTAATGGTGGTGTAGCAATAACCAGCACTCCAGTGCATGCCATGTTTTCTTTCTCTATGGTTTATGGAAAAGGGTTTTGGAGATTGGTTTATGCAGTTTATTGTAGATCAGAGCAGATGAACACACAGAGAGAGAGAGAGAGAGGGGTACCAATAGATATTTCATTTTGGCGGGTTGTTCTGTTAGTTTCGCTCTCTGTAATCTATCGATTGAGAGAGACAGGTTGGATTTTTTTTTGGGTACAAATGTGGATCGGATAGCCTTTGTGTGTGTTTATACGGTTCGATAGCCCTCGTCTAGTCAGCAAATTGTTCAGTGGCTTGTTGAGTTCCGCCGTGGCGTTAAGATCCTCCAGAGTGGATTCTCTAGAGGATCTCCTAAAAGAATCTATTCAATGGTTAAGATTTTTCGTGAGTAATTTAAAAATAAAAAAAAATATTAGATTTCAAAATTTCTACGCAAAAGATAGAGAGAGAAGAAGAGAGAAAGAAGCAGAGGGAGACGACGTTGCCGCCCTGCCTCCTGACGCCCCTCCGTCGCCGCCGTCTTTTATTCAACTGTCTCTCTCTCGTGCTCACTCTGCTATCTTCTATAGCAGAAGCCTTACCACAAATGTAAACTATGAATTTCAAACAAACACCTAACAAAAACAAACCATCCTTTACAAATACAAATCGCCAATAATAACTAATCTTATCCAAAAACAAATCCACCATATCAAATTCCATTGAAGAAAACAATCAACTAAAAAACAACCAAATTCTTCTCAAATCCAAGTAGTTACTGAAAACCCACAACCAAAAACAACCATTAATGGTGATTCTTCAAAACCCTATTCATGTTTGAGAGATGTGTTCAATCCACCGAACAGAGGTGAGGACTACTACATTTTACAAGCCCTGTTTAGCATACACATGGTGGTTCTCTTTATCGCCACCACTTGCGGCGTCAGAGGAACTTTGACGGCGATCGGCAGCGGCGTGGAAGTGGTAGCGGCAGCACGTCGAGGGTGGGAAGGGGCTAGGGCTAGGCGGTGATGTGGCGGCCTCCTCCTCTTCTCTCCTTCTTCTATCTCCTAGCCCCTCTATCTCTCTCTCTCTCTCTAATGCTTTATCACAGGAGAACAACACAAGACTGAAATCTGTTTTTTTTTTTTTTCAAAATTACTCACCAAAACGACGTCGTTTTGGTGAGACTGAATCACAGCCATTGAATGGATCACTCTACGAGATCACTCTAGAGAATACACTCCAGAGGATCTTAATGCTCCGCGGTGTGTGTTCAAAATGTGGGTTGGATGCTTGGATATTAGTAACCAAAAGTCGTGGGTGGATAAAATAATTTTAAATAATGACATTATAATAAATTGGGAAAATTAATTTAACATTCTTTTTTAATTTTGGGTAATAAGAGAGATTTTCAATTTTTTAATTTTTTTTTTAATTTTTTATGTTGGATAAGGTTATGGGTGCTCGCGGATCAGCTTTGTGCAGTTTGCGGTTCAGTTTTGACCCACTCGCATCTATGCGGTTTGGAAAAAAGTCAACTCGCAACCACCCACAGTGCGGTTTGCGGTTTGTGCGGATAGGGTTTGCAGATGTGCGGGCGGTTTGCGGTTTACACTTTTTTCTTTAAAAATTAATTTTTGAGTTTTTTTTTTCCCCATCGAATTTAGGCATCAGATTCATTTTATATATTTGTGATCATTTGACAATAATTTTATGATGAGTTTTCAAATAAAAATTGAATATCAATGCATTAAATGAAAGTACCAAAGACAAAGAGATCCTACACTAGCATTTTTGCCATAAAAAAATATATATCAATGCATTAAAGGTTGTACTCAATTAGAATTGCCAGTTCAGTAATCAATAATCAAACTAGAAGTTCCATCGACCACTAGAAGGAAAATTTTATTAAGAAAAAGTAGGTGAGTCACCAATAAAAATCATATAAGAAACCAAGTTTAGGACTTGATAATTCTACGGTATTAAGAAAGTTGAGAAATACTTAAAAATAAGGATCCTAGTGTCATAGAGAACATAATGGTACTTCTGTTAAAGTTACAAAGTCGGTATATAAATAATAATAATAATAATAATAATTAAAGTGCGGGCAGTTTTTTGCGGGTTACGGGTTTAACCTGCGACCCGTCCGCAACCCACAAATTTGTCATATTTTAAACCACATCCGCCTGCATTATGTTTGTGAAACCGTCAATTTATATGCGGGTTGGGTGGTTTGAGCGGTTCGGATAAACCGTTGCCCATCTCTAGATAAGGTATCTTATATCCTTTGCTTCAGTTTTATTAAAAAAAATGTTAATTTTACCCTTACTTTCCTCTTTTATCTCTTTTTTCTTCTCTCTTCGTTCTTCTCTCTCTACATATCTGGGTCTCTCTTCTCTTTCTACATATTTGGCTCTCTTTTCTCTCTCATCCATTCCTCTAATCTTTGTATTCCCAAACCTTAAAATTCAAATCCACCATCTCCTTATTCTTTGACATAGAACACAACTTTGAAAATAACTGAATAAAACAATAACCAAATGTTGAATTTATGGTCGCTGAAGAACAACAATCTCACAAGAGAAAGTAGAGTAAGTGAAGATGATGAAGAATAGTAAGGAATAGTAAAAAAGTTGATATAATAGTTTTAAATCGTATCTCTCTCATCTTATCTCTCATTTTTCTCTCTTCCTATTATTTTCTTCATATATGTTGAAAATCAAAATCTTTGTTTTTTTTTTTGGGTGTCGAAGCATAAAATATCATGTGTCTCTATGTGCTTGAGTGAAATTTCTCTATGTTTTTGTTTTTCTTTGTGTCTTTCAACAAATTTTTTTTGACTTTGTTTTTGTGTGTGTGTGTTGAAACATAAGATTTTATGTGTCTTTGTGTGTCTAAGCGAAATTTCTTTGTGGCTTTATTTTTCTTTGTGTTTCTTAGAATTTCTTTGAGTGTGTTTGTGTGTTTTCTTTGGCTATCACACATCTAGTACTTCTCTAGCATGTTGATTTTTTCTAGCCATTACACACACACACACACACACACACACATACTCACGATTTCTCTAGTTGTGTGGAATTTCTCTAAGATGTTTCTCTAGTCATTTTACACTTTAGACACTTAATACTCTCTTGTGCATATGAAATTTCTTTGAGTTGCACATAAAATTTCTCTGCAAATGTAGTCAAAGAAATTTACTTTCTTGTGTATTTGATTTTCACTTGACACATTACACACTTGCATATTTGTTTCTCTAAAACATTTGATTTTCTCTGAAGTTTCTTTGTCATGTTGATGTTTTTTGGCCATCACACACTTGCAATTTGACTTGCATATAAAATTTCTCTATAAATATAGTTAGAGAAATTTACTTGCATGTTGATTTTTTTCTAACACATTTGACTTTCTCTGAAATTTCTCTACAAATGTAATCAGAGAAATTTACTTTTATGTTGATTTCTAACTCAGTGAAATTTTGTCATTTTTTTTCTTTTCAAATTTCATATTCATCATAGATCTTATTTGATAGATCTTGACGAGAGCATTTCAAAAATATAATTTTTGTTGAAATTGGACATCTAAATAAAAAATTATTCAAATTTTAAGTTTTAAAAAATTTCAAAAAGTGAAAGACGTTAGACTGAATGTAAAATACAAGGATATTTTGATCTAATAATTTTGAAGGGAAGAAATGCATGTTTTTGAGGGACCTGAGGTAGTTTGAAAGTTTGGAATGCAGTTTATCTCCTAAAATTGTAATATTAGGGACCTTAAAAAAAAGTTATTTTTTGATAAATTCTCTTTCAAAGTGTTTTATTTCATCTAACCCATATTTTTTTTGAATATTTCATTAAGTCCTATTTAATGTAATATGACCAAATCATCATTTCTAATTTTTTGCATATATTTCTATTTTGAAACTAATACATAACAATAGTTCCTTATTTTATGGAGAAAGTCTTTCCCTCATTCTAAAGAGAAAAACTTTCTCTTATTCCATGGGAAAAATGTCTCTTTTATTCTAAGGAGAAAATCTCTCCCGCATTCCATCGAAAAAATCTAAAATTATGAATTTTGAACATTTTTATAATTTGAAAATTTTAAAAATAACACAACAAAAAATTTGAATAAAAATCAAAATACAATGTGAATGTTCACAGTAAATGACAAACATACCAACTAACTTTTGAAAAAACAATACGCATACTAAAGTACAATGTGAATGTTTACAATAAATAACAAATATACACCTAACCTTCGAAAAAATAAAATTCATACCAAAATACAATGTGAATATTCACAATTTATAATTAACATACAACTAGTCTTAAAAAAATAACTCATATTAATGTAAACATTTACACTGTAACGTGAAAACATAAAATAAAATTAAAAAAAGTGAAAATCGACTATGTCAATTGTTCAATGGTAACGAAAATGATTGATCAACTAACCAGCATAGAAACAAAAATAAAAAACATACAATTAACTTTCAAAAAATAAAACTTATACCAAAATACAATGCGAATGTTTACAATTTATAATTAATATAAAATTAATTTAAAAAAAAATTAAACTCACACCAATGTGAACATTCACACTGTAATGTGAAAATATAAAATAAAATTAAAAAAGTGAAAATCGACTATTTCGATTGTTCAATGGTAACAAAAATGATTATGAACCTACAAGCATAGCAAAAAAAAAAACAAAAAACAAAAAACAAAATATAATTAACTTTTGAAAAAACTTCACCAAAAAAAAAAAAAAAAATAGAATTGTAAATGAAAAAAAAACTCATACCAAAATACAATGTGAATGTTTACAATTTACAATTAACATACAACTAATCTTAAAAAAATTAAATTCGTACCAATGTGAACATGCACACTGCAACATGAAACAAAATTGAAAGAAAAAAAATGACTATTTCAATTATTTAATGGTAACAAAAAATGATTGTTCAAACAACAAGTACAGTAACAAATAACCAATAATATGTGAATATTCACATATTAGAAAATATATAATTATGTCCATATCTATATTTCAACACTTATTTCTCTGACTTTCAAACAATGTGAAATGTGAACATTCACATTGATTGACAAAAAAATAGAAACAATGACAACAATAAAATTAGAAATTCAAAAAAAACTCAATCACTCTAAAAACAAAAAATATCACCCATCCCCATCATCATCATCATCATCATCATCATCTTTATCATTATCACTATCATTAACAATTTATGCA